GCATGACTAAGTGTTGTTCTAAACATTTTTACTTTAAATACAAAAAGAATTAAAGATATGAGTTTCAAGATAAATTATACATTAAAAGTATAGTTTTTTTTATTAATTTATTTAAACAATTTTAATATTAAAAATATTTACATAGATTTATAAGATAAATTATATTTTTAACATAAAATTCATCCTATAAAATATTTAAAAAATATATAAAATAAAACTAAAAAATCAAGACAAGGACGCTTAGAAAACAAAACAAAACAAAAGTGGTACGTATGCTCATTTTGAAGAAGATATTGTATGGATAGAATTATATATTAAAAATGTACTTTAATTTATAAAATTATTAAAATATTTTTTTTAAAACATAAATCGCTGGCTATCACAATGCTTGTACAAAATGCAGCTTGCTTAGCAATGTTGCTTTAGCAGGACAACCATATTCCCGCCTCTCTTACGCTGTCTTCAAAACCCCAAACCCAAAACCCTCAAAATCAACACAGAAATTCAGATCAAAGATGTCGATCGCGACGCCTCCTGACATGGTTGTGAAGAATCGGTTCCTAGGGTTCTTAATATGGCAATCTATTCCCTCCACAGCCATCTTCCTCCTCTCCAACACATTCGTCGTTTCTCTATTCGCTTCTGATGCCATTAGCCCAATACTCAGACTCTTTTCCACCTTCTTCACCTTTCACCTCTCCCAGCTCATCTTCTCCGCCTCCCTCTCAGTCGTCTCATCTCCCCAACCCACTCCTCCTGCTTCCCCCATCCAACTCCTTTTTGGGCTTGTCCGATTACTCCTCAGCGATTCCACCGACTTGTCCATCGATTTCCGCCGCAGGGCGAAAGTTTCTTTGAGTTTCGTGCTCTTCGTGGCGGCCTCGGCTTTCTCAGGGCTTGTCTCTGTGGTGCCGTTTTTCTGGGTTAGTGGTGTTGATACTGATGGACTGCTGATGATTGGAAGAGTGGGGATTAGGGGTTTTGTAGCCGGTTTGCTTTATGGGTTGTTTTATATTTACAAGAAAAGATGGGTTTTGGAGTTCCCTATTATTCAGGTGAGCCTAACATTGATTTTGTTTTTCCCTGTCTATTTATGTTTGAATATGTGCAAAGAAAATTAAGTTTATTGCTTGCAATAGTCTTTCTTAAAGAATGGCTACTGCCTAGCTGCATGATGCCAAAATTAGATTGCATGTTACTTATTTTGACACTCCAAACTCTTGTTCAATCTTTTCAATATTGAAACGGAAATGAAGAAGGTTTCCTGGGTGTGTCAATTTATTATTATCTATTTATTCGTTTGCTATGCTGTACCTATGTTGTTAGAGTTTCTACAATCCTGAAACTCCCATTTTGATTCAATGAGGCAACTGGTGTGAATGATGTTCAGAAATGCTTTATTTACCAGTTACATTGGCATTCAAGACCATCTAGTTTACTATAATCACTGATTAGGTTATTGTTGTCATATAGTATTCCATTCTTTTTATTTATATAATTACTAATAGTGTCTATGTTCTCTGGCCTCTTGTTTCAATTGCTAATATCAACAGCGTCCACCTTTCTTTAGCTTCAAGATGGGTCTCCCTTCAGCTCTTCAACGAGCGCTGGAACTTTCTGCTACTGCTTCTGTATTTTCAGCTATGTTGGTAATATTTTTGCCACAACAGTTCAAGGACCAAGTGACAGTTGGAAACTTCATTACCGAGCAGATAATCTTTTACCTTGGATGCTTTTCTGTGTTCCTTTGTTGGGAATTAAGTCACCATTTGCATCAGGTTAGTTATTGTGCTGTAGCATACCTTATTTTAGTTAAGTGTGCTCCAATGCCCTTGGATTTTTTTCCCTGAATAAAGGGTGCAAATGTAAAAATTAGTGTTTCATCACTAGGCATGCTAACTATTTAATAACTATTTTTTTAGTTCCAAAATGTTTCGGTACATTCTTGTAAGTACTTATCTGGATAGACCAAGAAAAGATGTCTGGTCTCATTAACAGCTCTTTATAGCAGTTTAATCTACTGAGGCTTCAATTATGCTACCAACTCTTTTGTTTTATGGCTGTTTATCCTTTTTTACTTCTTTTCTTTTGAGTTCTCTTAGATGGTTAAGCTTTAAAATTATTTTCAGGACTGTTATGTATTCTTGTTCTCATAGTTTTCATGCTTTTTAGTATACTCTAATTTAGCTTTGTTCATGCTTTTGAAATAGTGTTATAGAACAAAATTTTCATTATATTCTCTGTCCTTGGAAATCAGTTGTTGATCTCTACTACCTCTACTGTAAATCTTTTACTTGATTTGCTATTGTTTTCTGGTAAGGGCTTGTTTCCTTAGTCAATTGCTTCACTCTGCAATTGCAAGTTCATTGAATGTTTCAAATATGAACAATTACTATATCCTCTCTCTCATGCATGAGCGCATATGCATATACAGAACTGTCAACTGTGTTACTTTCACTCTTTTTTACATGAACAATTACTATATCCTAACTCTCTTTCCTGCATGGGCACATATGCATATACACTATTCTGTTGCTCTATTTTATGTATTGCTGTTGCCATACAGGTACTTTGTACAAAACGGTTCATATTTGCACCACCAAAAGGATCAGCTGCGGCTGAAACAAATCCAAGTGAGCCTCTCCTTGCTGCTTTGGAGGAGAGCCTTCCAGGTTCTCTTCTGAAATATCTTGCATACCTTGATCTGTCTATGGTTTGTGAGAATAATGTTGATATTTGGCGTCGAGCTGCCTTATTTGAAGAAACTAGTGAAACTTACAAAAGAGTGGTAACTCTATGCTTGAGGCCTTTGGAACAACTTGCATTCAAGCTGAGTGAGAGTTTGGAAGGATTTTCAGCTGAAAAATCCTTTCAATCAGCTAACCCTGTGCAGGCAAACGATCCCCGACTTGATTCAAATTGCTCTGAACCAATGAACAACTTTCAGGTATTGAATTTATTGTCTTGATAAGCATTTGTGTGCTTTATTTCTGAAAATTTTGTTTATTTTTTGTGTTTTTCTTATTTTTATATTTTATACTTTAGTTGAATTATATTTTTTAAAGTTCACTCTAAATGTTACTTTTTCCCAAATTAATAATTTTAACTGTTAATATCCTTATCAATATTTAGGGAGAACCCAATATGCCACCTTTTAATTAATGCTTCTTGCAATAATTGATATTACTTGTTTTCTGTGAAAGCCTTCTGAGGAGGTATCGTTGTCATTTATTTAGCATTTTTTGGTCAGAGGGTTGTTCACATTTTGTCAAGGAACTTTACTTGAGCAAATCTGTTAATTTCTCCTTCATTTCATTAATCTTTCCTTCTGTCTTTGTTAATGTGTTTGCTGTTCTCATGGAGGCAAATAATGAGTAGAATCATAGATGTTAAGATTGTGACTTAATCAGAAGTGTGATCCTGCTAAATCAAATGAAACAATCCACATCTCTCTGATAAATTGTGATTATGTAGGATGCAGATAGGAGATAGAGTTGTATGTTCAGACTGTAATGGAATTGTGTCAACAACCATGTAGGGAACTTTGCCTCTGAAAGTTGAAACTATTAGGCATATTTGAACTGTCAGATTCCAGCTATCTCTCTGACAGTTGGAACTATTAGGCATATTTGGACTTTCATATTCCAGCTAAGGTAAGTGGGTCCCACATTAGAAAAGTTGGGGGGGATATTTTTTCGTTCTAAAAATGTGGAAAAAAGATTGCTTATTGGAAATTTTGTCAACAAAAGTAAAGACTAAAAATGCCAATTTTACCCTCATTTTGTTCAAATATTAAGGTGTGAAAATACACAAACAACCCTAGAAAATCCAAGGGGAAACTCCCCCCGCCCCCAGTGTAGATTGTAAATTCATCGATTAGGCACTGTGACCTATTATTGGAAATTCAAGACTCGATATTTGCAGAATCCTTGTGTAGATAGTTTTTAGTTGCCATTGGGATCTATATAATTCATTATCTTAAAATGGTGGAAAAAAAATTGAGTGTCAAAGAAGGATAGAAGAAAAAAATGATGGCTGGCAAAGAAGCGAAAATAAGTCTTTTGCCTAGAATTTGATTGCCATTTGCTGGGCCAACTAATATCATTCATTTTCTATGGTACAACTGTCTATTTTGCAAATTGTTGGAACTAGGAGTCATTACAAAGTGGATAGGTCCCACTACTAGAACTTAGAACCTGTTTTGCATTGTTTGCAGTCAGTCTGGAAACCATTGAAGGTTACATGGCAGTTCCAGGGCCTACCTTCTCTTTTTCTAGTTTTTAATTTTTTCTTGTTTGATCTGTAATTAAAAATTAAAAATATTCTTCATTCAGAATCTGATAAAACATGGTATAGGTTTGGTGCCATAAATTTATAATATTACTAGACAATGCCATTCAACTTTGTAATAGCTTACAGTTGGACACCCCAATTTAGAAAAGAAAAATCTTTTTACCACAAAAAGAAAACGAAAAGCAAAGACTCACCATTCATAAAAGTTTAAAAACATGTTCCTAACAAATAAAATCCAAATAGCTAATAAAAATACAAAAAACTGATACATAAACCTATTAAAGTGGGTCTACTTAAATCTATAAGACATAACTGAGGAAAGTTAGGCTTATTAACAACCGTGCTGAATGTTGTTTCTATTTTAGTGTCAAAAAGTGCCCATGCAAAGTGTGGAAAACTCGGGAAATTTGGGAGGGAAGGCTGCTTATGTTAGTTGCCATGCCAAATTACTAATGTTATGAAGGTTGACAATTTTTGCAGCTATGTGCATGGTGTGCTCAATCAGTTGCCTCACTGACTGCAAGATCACACAGGGAAGACAGGTTTGGAGTTGCCCAACTCTCTGGTAGCAATGCTGCTGTTATGTCAGCACTCTTGTCTTGTCTGCTTGCTGTCGAAGCATTCATGGGGAAAAAGACGAGTTTGCAACCACCTCATCATTTGATGGGGACGGGTGGCATTAGATGGGCTACAACAAGCACAGGAAGAAGAGATGTTAGAACAGCTAAACGGAAAGGTAGCCTGCAATATTCAAAAGCATTTGCAATGGCTGATGTTCTTAGAACCTCAATATATGGTATTGTGTCTGCTTTCCACAAGGAGATGTTGAGAAGTGCAAAAGCAGGTGATCTTGAAAAAGATTGGATTGATAGTGGTAAACCTGTTTTTGGAACTCGTGAGCTGCTGGTGCAGAAATTGCATCTCTTCCTGGACTTTCGAGCTTAGCTAACCAAACACTAGAGAAGAAAACTGGGTTTCTTCAGTTTATCCTCCCACTGGCCTTTTGTTGATCCCCGGGCTTCCATATGCATTTATTGTATGTTACAGGATGAGACTGAGGAGAGTACATTTCAATTTTGGATTGAAAGACAAGTAGCATCGAATGCTTGATTGTGTAATCTAGTTGCAAAGTGAATATCGAATCTTTGTCTGCTGTGGCTCATTGAAAAGTTAATATTAGGTCAATGTTTGACCCTGAAGAAAATCATTGTTCACTGTTAGGAAGGTTTTGTGGTTAAACTCCCTTCTTTTTTCACTTCTCTGGACTCTCGAATGCACATAGACATTTGAAGTTATTGATTTGTCTATTGCAATGGTTTGAATGCTTGTTCCACCAGTATTAGGATCTGGGTTGTGAATTTATTTAATGCTGACTGTATTTAATTCTTTCTACTTTGTCTTCCCTTGCCAAATGTCGATATCCAATCCAGGGCAATGCATATTTGAATGATCTTTGAATGAAGGAATCAATTGAAAGCAACAGAATGTCTACGGCACTTTGAGCTTGATTCGTCTGGGGAAAATGAAATGGAGGTCCTTCAATCAAATTAAGTCGTACGAAAAAAAATATGGTTATCTTATAAGTTTAGTTGTGAATTTTTAACAACGAGAATTTATTATGAATTTTATGATGTTCAAGCGATATTAAATAATGGTTAAATATCTTTTTTGGTACCTCTACTATAAGAAAAATCTTTTTTTTTGTCCCTGTACCGAAAAAATCCTTTTTTTTATCCCTAAATTTCAAAATTCGGCCCTTTTTTAATCCCTCCGTCAAATTTTGCTCGCGTGGCACGTTAAATTAATTGGAACAACTGACGTGGGTATGTCTACATGTAAAAAATGCTTACGTGAACTTCTGACACCTGCCACGTCACTCGCCACGTCACTCTCCCCTCCAATTTTTTTTCATT